GACCCGCTTCCAAGTCGTCAGCACGCCTGTAGACGTATCGAGCTCCCACACCCGCATCCGGCGGTGAAATCGATGTTTACCGACCGAGCTATATCCGCCGAACCCGCTACCACCTGCATGACACAGCCAAGGGCGAGTCAGGGTCTTTGAACGGTTTTGTTGTCGTTTGAATGGCAGCAGAGCGCAAAAGTCATTCACGTGGTCGTGCCCACAGCCCAAGGCTGATATTCCACTCTGGACCAAGGCATTATAGAAATGAGAATTACGTCTGGGGGCTTCCGTTGGCTCTCTTCGATTTCCACCGCGTATGTCTAAATTGCTGCATCCAAACTCAGGAAGAGGTATGTGTTGGTAGACTATAGACAGATGAAAGTTTCCATTACTACTGCCTTTTCCGCGCCGGCTTCCGTGCTCGTTCGTAGTGTCGAGAAACCAGTCGATTTGACTTTGCTTTATTGGCTCATAGTTGGAACCATATATTGACTTAGGCACCTGCCCGTGTGAATCCAGAAAATACAAGGTCGCCAATGGAATCTGTACTGGGGAATGGGCTAGAATCTCGATATAGTAGTTGCCTATACCGTCCACGTGCTCCGGTCCCGGCTCGCAGAGGCTGAAGGGTAAGTTTTGGAGTATTGACATTTGGGCGGTGCCTACAGCCCAGTTAGCAAGGATACAACCAGGCCCAAATTTTGAATATATGGTCAACGCTCGTATTGAGTAGCTATAAGAGGGATGGGATAGAGGAATGCTTACGTGATAGGGCGTTTCTACCCTCGCTATCATGGTTCCCAAAGACGGCTGCGAACGGGATTGAACGTGCAATCATAGGGGCAACCACCTTGAAGAGAGCGGATTGGGTGTCTGGGATATCGTGATGTAGCTGATCTCCAGTAAGCACCACAAGGTCTGGTCCCTCAATATCCAGGACCTCTTCAATAAATTTGACGGTTAATGGGTCAGCCTTATTCTCTGGAAGATGGTTTCCGTGGGCATCTATAGCATCTTTACAGATGCCAGTACCTGTTACCATATGCGTATCAGAAATTTGGATAATCTTGAATTTGCCGTCCTCCCTAACTCGCAAACCTGCCTTAGCATCTGGTGGAGGCTCAGCCCTGCCATGAAGAATGGTTAAACTTGCAACATGTGCATCTCGAGGAGTCTGTATTTGTAGGGGCGATCGTATCAGCTTCCACTGTGGGCGCGGATCAATAGCGTCTGGGCCAAAGAGTACGTCCACATGTGTCACAGCTTGGCCGATATTACCAGAAAACTTGGTTCTCAGTATCCATATTCCACCAGGTCGACTTTCCCACGTATTAGCTGAGCCTGGGTTGGGCGGCTGCTTGCCAACTCTAATATCCACCACCATCATATCCTCAGCTCCAAGCTCTTGTTCATCCATCAAGGCCACGTACAGCCACGCACTTTGCCGGGAAGTATATAGATAGAGATCCTTCTCTACACGGTGCCATTGGCGCGGATCCAGTCCACTGGGTAAATGTTGACCGGATGAAGACGAAAAGCTTATTGTAAGATCTGTGACAACTGGACGAACAACGATCGCTGCGGTGGAAGAAGCGGGTAACGTTGCCACTTCGGAGGAAATGACGAGGTTGAAGGGGTCGAAAACATGAAGTAGCATAACAGCTAGTAGGACGGATGCTGATGCGATCGCGAATGCCATTTTTTTTAGATGTCTTCCAGAATTTATGAAACGGTATGGGGTGATGCGACGGGTTAACGACTTTACGTAGAGCGTAGATAGAGTACTAACCCGAATTAGTCATAGGCGCTCTGTGTCTTGGCAATCGTGGCCTACAGTTTCGACCGTGACTCCCAATTGCCTTCCCCATGCCACACTGTCAAAGACCACGTGACAGTCCTTACCATCATGTGATCATGTTATACCAGATGAAGTTAGTAAGTAGGCGTGGCCCATGTGAGTAAGTCCGCGCTTTTTTTCCTCTCAACTAATTATATTCCACAATAACACAACGCTATGGCTCATCGCATTTTCATCAAATGCACCTCGTCCTTCGATCTCATCGATCTCACCCATGGTGATGTATATTTACAAGCGTAGTCCATATATAGATATTTCAGCTGTGACACCATCCCTGCGATTCCTTTCCAACACGATCTGCTTTTCCTCCCGTCTCTCTGATCCGGTGTTTAAATCAGACAGATGAGTTTACGCTATCATTGAGCGCAGAAATAGTCTATTCTTGTTGACAGAAAGGTTTCTTGGCCAGGATCGAACAGCTCAGCCGGTAAAACATCAGTATGGGCGGCACCAGAGCCAGCATAAGCTACCGTACTCTGCCCGGATATCTGTGATACCCAGTTCACATCGTCGTCATCAAGATCGGTCCGGTGATGCTGCGATAGATGTTCCTCTTTCTCGATGTCCCGCACTCGGTAGCTACGCTTTTTCTTCGTGTATTTACGAGTCAGCTCGGTAGTGCCCAAAAGACCAGTAAATTTGTTTGAATTATACGCCGAGAATGGGAAAGAAGCCACTTAAAGCACTTAGGTAATCCGTAAAGAGGCTATACAAGGTGAACGTTAAGCGATACGATCCCGAACGGCGGACTGATAGGTCCGGGAAGACAAAAAATGCACTTTTACCAAGGCTCGGGCACTGCATATGAGAAACAGAAATTCCAATCATAAGTTCATCGTTCGAACTTTGCGCGGGTTTTTCGTAGGGACTGACGCTTTCTATTGTCGCGACGAGAAAAAAAGTTCCGAACACTTGGACTTGAGTTTCTTCTTGGGCGTAGTTATCGAAAATGTGGAGCTCTATAATAGGAGGAGGGTCGATTGGCCGGCGCTGTTCAAAGGCTGCTTATTGAATCAGTACCTGACGGATATAGACTTGCTGACCTACCTTTCTCCCCGTAACCACAAGCTCGAGATGTCTTTGGTTGTTGTAAGACGCTCAACATATATGATGTCGCTCCATCGACGCTGGTTACAGTGCTTATCGGTTCGTTCATGACATAATTATATATAACTAGAACGGGGTAGATAGTAGGCAAACGATGAGTGTGCGTACTGCAATCTAGTAGCGGTGACTGGCCGGTCAAGGACTATGTGATACGTATATATCCTAATGTCCCAGAAGTGATCACAGACGTCCTGATCCATAGCTCGGTTTTGGACTTCCCCACGCGAGACGATCTTGCCGCTGTAATGCGCATGGCTACATCACTCCATGGGCGATCGTGATGCTTTTTCCAAATCACTAACCCTTCCCCCTAAGCTGATCCCATACTTACCACTGCCGAATCTCCCCGCTTTAGTGCATTCCTTCGAACTGTGTGCAGACTCCACGCCCTAATTGTAGACGTAGATTATGAAAGCGCCAGATCTGAGCTGATCCCGCATCTACCACTACCGACCCGTCCCCTTTGGTGCTTTCCTGTAAGCCATGTGCCAACTTCGCTTCGGAAAGTTCGCCTTACTCGTACAAGGAAGGAGGAGCGTAAGATAATCATCAGGCAGGCGGCAATGGACTCGAGACGTAATTACGCTATCTGATGGTTCCCCCGAGTCCGGATGCTGTGCCGACTCCGTGCAGAGATGTGTTGCGACTAAGACAGATTGACACTTGCATTGCCCAAGTACTCCTCTTTCCAATGTCTGCTCCTATACTCCTCCTACCTTCTCTCATCTTCCTCGCAACTAAGGTGCCGTGATCATAAGTGCTCATTGTGCGGCCCAAAATGGCCCTTACAGAAGCTGTCGCAATTGACCGCTCTCAACAAGTACAAATCTGTGTTATGACGATTCTTTTCTGACTGAGCATTACAGATTAGAGCGGCGCTACTCGCCGTCATTGATATATTCGATAAATTCTCGATAGACTTCGACACTGTACATGGCTCCAACCCGCTTACAGACCTCCACACGGGTGCTAAAGAACTACTCGCCAGTATTCCTGCTGAACCGCTGAGCTCGCCATTAGCAATTCAACCTTTTCATAGATCTCCCTATAAGGAAGTCACCGCAAGCCAAAGCAATTGCGAACAGTGTCGAGCCACTGAGCCGAGCCTCACGGGAGATGGAGCACCGAGCTGCGGCCATGACTTAGTTCCACTAAGTCTCATTCCTAACGCCAGTATCTTTGAAGACATGACCAGCGACTCTCGTTCTATCGACGCACGCAATAACGAGAATAACCATGGATCAGCCGCTGTATACACGTGTACGAGTCCCACCGCGTGTACGAGTCCTATTACGAGCACGAGTCCTACCGCGAGCACGAGTCCTACCGCCAAATACGGAATATCTATTGCAGGACGTCAACGGTGTCAGCAATGAAACACAGCCAAATCCTCATCTTATTGTAGATGCCAGGTAATTGCCTTCTAGATACAACGATAGTTCATATCATGATCTGTCTTTGAAGACTTCTTCATTGGAACGACGAGCACTCTCATGTGACCGTTCTCGACTTTCATTGTGACATCCTCGTGACAAATTATGCATGAATCATTTGGGACTTCGCATGATTCACTCTTGCTTGATTCAATAGTGATAGTAGGTGTATCCTTTCGATATACGATATAGATTATACAGGGGCCTGTGAACAAGGTGTCTTGGCTGATTGCAGAGAACCAGTGTTCTTCTTTTTTCCAGCCAGCGGGTAATTCCTAGAACTCTTCAGTTTGCTGATGCATCAGAAACTATTTCGACTTACCGGTTGGCATTGAGCTTCTAGTTCTGAGACTGCGTTGTCGGGTATAAACTTTATGATTTTCTGCCTCGGAAAGTTATGAATAGCTTCCTCAAAATCTTTCGGGCTCACAGCCTTTAGAGCCGTAAGCCCTGTGGACAAGTTTTTAATGGCGAAAGGTTTGGTCATAGACTCGAATCGTGCTGGAACGGCAAAGGTATTGTTTGAAGCAAAGTGGAAGACGTAGGTAGAAAAGATGATTCCTAATGCTGCGTGGCAGTAATTTGCCACTAACCCACTTTGAGACGCGGGGCAGCTGGTCACGCGTCCGGAGGGTTTCTCAAGCGTCCAGTTGTATTATATGTACTATACGAGTCGGCTATTATACTATATATCTAAGCCGTCTTACTAAGTGATATAGAAAAAGCTTAAAGCACGTGTATATCCTTAGCCTATAAGGTTAAAATCAGTCAAAATCAGT